CATCTGTCTGTTAATGAAAAGCTGTGTTTAGATCTTATGAGATCTTTAGTATAGTTATCAGATCAGATCAGAACTCTTCTGCAAAGATTAATTCTCTGTCTGAGATAATATTCATAGACAATTCATACAACTGAATCACATTGTAGATAAAGATATAAGTTAAATTCTTTAACTTCAAGTTCTTGTAAGTGAGTATAAAGTGTGTTATCTTGATGAAGTAATTCACTATTATCAGCACACTGTCAAAGCAGGTATTATATATGTTCTTGCTTTCAGAGAGACTCATAAGAGTATTCATTTCTAGCTATTCTCAAGATTTCTGTGAGATAAGTAGAGAAGTAAGTTCTTTATATAATCTGAACTGCACTATCTGTGAACTTTGATAAATAGTATAAGAATTCACTATCTTCTTCACAAGTTCTCACATCTTCAGTTAGAAGTATTTTCTTATAAGTAACTCATGAGTTCTAGTGTCTGTAAAATAACCTGCTAGAGAAGAGTCATGATATCTTTTAATAAGTTCTATACATAGAAACTCATTCATAGATATATAAATTCAGTTCTCTCTTTATAAGAGATTATTTAAGTCTCTTTAATTCTTTATTTCTGCAGAGTTAATCTCTGCTGTAAGCAGTTTCTGAATATACTGAGTATATTTATTCTTCAGTTATAGTTCAGACAATCTGAATAGAAGATCTTATAAAGACTTATACTCTGTTTTCTCTTACATCAGGTCTTTCACAGTGCTTCTCAAAGCTTATAAACTCTTCAGATCATAGATATTCTCTTCAAGAATTCTCACAGATATTCTCAGAGTGTTAACTCTCAGTGTTATAGAAAGTAGTTATACAGACTTCTTCTCTCTCTTTCTCTTCTTGTCTTATAAGAGATTGAGAGACTCTTCAGTCAATCTCTTCATAACACTCAGTCTGAGCATTCTGTGAAGCTTTTCTGTCTTCTCTAGTCTCTCTGTGTCTGTCACTCTAATCTTCTTAACATAGTCTGATCTGTGAGAGAATTCATTCACTGAGTTCTTAGTTCTCTTAATATGTTCTATCTTGAATCAGAACTCACTCAGTCTCTGAGCTCAGTAAATCTGCTGCTGTAAGAGTTTCTTAATTGAAGTAAACTATTATAAGCTATTATAATCAGTTTTAACAGTAATCACTGTTATAAGACTCTTAAAGTAGTGACATTAGTGATGAAAGAATTTCACTATTATAAGAAGCTTCTGATTATAAATGTTATAGTTAATCTTCATAAGTTGTATCTTTAATAAGAAAAAGACTACTGAAACTCAGTTCTCATTTAACTGTAGTTATAAGACTACTTCTGAAATTGTAAAGAAGAAGATATTCATCTTCAATCTGATTAAGAGTAAGAAATCAAAGTGAAACAGTATTACTGTATTTATAAATATCTGTTTCAATCTTACAAAGACTCTGTAAGCTTCTGAGATAAGAAAGTTCTCACAGTTCTCTCTTCTCAACAATCTTTTCATTCTTCATTTATAGAATGACTTCTTCTTATTTTCATTCTTCAGTATATCTATAAGAGTTAAGAAGATTCTCACAAATACAAAGATAAATTATTTATAGAAATTTACAAGATTAGAAAGATCTGAGTCTTATGAATACTAGTTAACTCTAATTATGATAGAATAGTCTTAACTTTCAAAGATTTTATCTGAATATCATCTACAGTGATTATATATTCTAGGAAATTAATTCAGTGAGTACTGAAGTTGTACTTCATAAGCTTAATATACAGTTCTGTCTCATCTAAGATCTTCAACACACTTTATATATACTCAGTGTGTTCTTTCTTCTTCACAGAGTACATCATCACATCATTCAGATATATTATCACAAAGACATTCAGATATGCATGAAGTGTTTTATTAATAAAAGACTGAAATATCACAGAGACATTAGTCAGATCAAAAGATATTACTAGATATTTAAACAATCTCAGTATAGTTCTAAAGACAGTCTTTTATTCATTCTCAGACTGTATTCACAGCTGTGTATATATATTAATTATATTCAGTTATGTGAATATGACAGCTTCTGTGAGACAGTTAATTACATTCTTAATCAGAGACAGAGAGTAGTGACTCTTTATTATCTTGAAGTTTAGATTATAGTAGTTTACACACAATCTGAGATCTTCATTCTTCTTCTTTATAAATATTACAGAGACTCTCACAGAGATCTGTGAAAGTTAAATAAAGTTATTCTTTAAATTCTTCTTCACATAGGTTTATAAGATCTCTGTCTCATAATGAGAGAGCTTATAGATTGATTCTCAGAAGAGTTTCTACTCTTCTATTAAATCTATTATCAGATTCTTCTTACAGTGAGAAGAAAGCTCAGCTGTCTTTACTAAGCTGAACATCTCTGCAAGATCTTGATATTTCTCTGATATCTGAAGCTCAGTTTTCATGATCACAAGATTCTCAGACACTCACAAAGTTATTATATAAATGAGCTTGTCTTCTCTAATTAACCCTACACTATTAACTGATTCTATCTCTGTAAGTAAGTCTGTCAACACTTATCAGAAGTATAAACCTGACTTATAGACAGCTATATATGAATTATGTCTTTAAAGTTATACAAGTCTTAAGTACATATTATCTGTGATATCTGTAATAATCACAGTTTTTATAAATCTTCTCCAGATTTCAGAGAGATCTTGTAATTCAAAGATGACTCTCATGAGTTTCTCAGTTCTCAGATCTGAGTTCTCACACTCTGCTTATTATAAGAGTAGATTCTCAGTCTTCATCTTTCAGCTTATTCACTCTGTGAGCTTTAGAGACATTACAGTGATCTGAAATTCTGAGTTCATCAATACTTTTCATACTTGTAAGACAGTAGCACTGCAGTACAGTCTCTCTCTATAAGTAAGTATTTTTATCAGAGAAGTAACAGATTCAGATATCAGTTTCAAGACTCTTAAGAAGACTGTTACTGACTCTGTTCATAACTTCTTAAATTTCTATTTTAATTTATTCAGACAGTTTGTGCAGAGATGTTTTGATTTAGAATAAATAAAGCAGAGTTTCTTTTTCTTAATCTCTCTGTTATATACTCTGTTTATAGAAGCTTATGAAGCTCTCTCTCTCTGCTCAGTAGTCAGATATGAATCTCTCTATATCTTATCATCTTTTTCTGATAAATCTGTTCTCTGTTATTCTAGTTCTTATAAGACTGATTAATGATTCACTCTTCACAGGTCTGTGACTCTCACAGTGATGTGTAAGCAGTGAATGAGAGTCATCAGTTTCTTCAGAGTTAAGAATTTAGAGTCTTATTCAATGAGCTTATTCTACATATCTTTATTCAGTCTCTTTATAAATATCATTATTCAGATCTTGTTTCAGAGCTCTGTTTTCACAGATCTCAATTCATATCACAATTTCATGAAGTATTATAAGTAGTCTTTATCAGATTTCTCACCTCTTTTTCTAATATTGATAATCATGATTCAGATATTCTCTGTTCAGCTTGCAGAGTCTCTCAACTTGTTCTCTAAATAGATCTTAAGAACAGATCAGCAGAATCTCTTATGATTATTCTCTAGATAATTCAGTCAGTTCTTGACTTCAGTGTAATAGAGATCTGTCATTATATAGATAATAGCTTCTTCATCTTTCATGTCACATAGTCAGGCTTGTAAGTCAATTTTAAATGCAAACTTGTAAAAGCTTTTATAGATTGTGATTTAATAGATGGTCTTAAGTGATCATAGCTTAAGAAGGTTTCTTTTCAGTTCATGAATATCTCTGAAGATCATGTCTAGAGACTCAGTTCAAGAATGTTTACAGATAGTAAGCATTTCTTATAGAAAAATAGCTTAGTCTTATAGAAGATGCTCAAGAATATTCTTTACTAAGATTAATTTATTCATGAATTTAGAGAGTTTCTCTGTCACAGATGTAGAGAATGATATTTCATAAGTGATTGATAAGTTCTCTGAGACTTCTTTTATAGAGATTATTCATGATTTAAGTGACTGCTTCTGAGTGTCTGCAGTAGAGTTCACAGGAATTGAAGCATGTGAGTTTCTAGTTCTTTCAGTCATAACAGATGATTGCTGACTGAGTGAGCTTGAAATATAAGAATAAGTGCTCATAGATGATTATTCAGATGTTTACAGCTTGATATAATATATACTGTTAACTACTAGAAGTATTCACAGTAGAAAGATAAAATATAGAGATTAAATTTATAATAGCATTCAAGCTGAGTTATGAATAGTATTCATGAACTTCAGTCTATATAGTTGTGTGTAGCCAAGGGCCGCTAGCCCTATTGATTATGTGAGAGATAGAAATAGAGGTAAAGAATCCGCGAGAAGCGGGATTTCTTACAGAATGTTTCTGAATAAAGTTGCAGTAATTATAGCAGAGAGATGACTCTTCAGCAATCTATAATACAATCTGTTAATAATTATTTCATAGTTTATCTTGATATTTGTGTTGAGTTTTTCATAAATTTCATAACCTGAAATCAGATATGAAGAATAAAGTGATTATTTATCATAATTGAAAGAGAGCATTCTGTGTTGAATTATAAATAATATAGACTTTGTGATACATAGTGATTTCTTGAAGAGTTTATAAATCTTCAATAGAAGTAAAAGAAGTGAAAGAAGTGAATTCAGAAGATATAATAATAATTTGAGAAAGATGATAATTTATTTTCAATAACTGATCACTGATGTGTGTAGACTGATCATGTGACTGTGTCTGAAACCAGAATCAAACTTTATAGTTATCATGTTGTCTAAAAGCATTACTTCTGATCATAATTTGTGTTCATTACATTGATCTCAAATCACATTATTTCAAATATTAAAGGTCTCAGATTCACTTTTCAAATAAAAATCTAGTCTCAGATAAAGAATATGTTTGAATTCTTAGTCACATTTTCATTCTGATTTCATTATTGAGAATGATATTAAATAAGATCATGAAATCATTTCTCACTTACATAATATCATAATATAGTGCTCATTTATTGAAAATTCAATAGAGAGTATTACTAAATATCATTACTTTTCTGAACACAGATCATAATTTATATAATTTTAATTATGAAAAAAACATAAAATACAAAAAAAAACAAAAAACAAAAAATAAAACAAACACAAGAAAAAATCACAATTAAAAAAAAAAAGAAAAGAAAAAGAAAAAAAAAATTAAAAAAAAATCAAGATCACAGAGCTGCAGCATTCTCAAAATACTCACTTCTTAGAGTCTTCATAATATTTATCATCAACTGTGTATCTCTTACAGTGAGAATAACATAACTGTGATAAGTCATTATCTTAATATTATTTAATAAATAATCAGTATATATCTGTATAAATGTGAATAATTAGAAAACATACACTTAAAAAGTATGACCAGAGTGAACTCTGCTGCTACTTGAATGATATTAAGAACAGAACACTGAAATTGATGATTCTCTTCATTGATTTCACAGACAAGGTGTGCAAAGATGATCTTGAGAAATATAAGATTTCTCAACTTCTGATAAAAACAGATCTCATGAAGAGACTCTATTTTCATAATATCAAAGACTGAGTATTATTAAAAAGTATTACTTTCATGTAATGTACATGTACTTACTGCAGTGATTCACTCTCTGCACATGTGACTGAGAGTTGTGACTTTCTCATACTGCATGACTCTCTCTGAAATACTGCTGTCAGTTTGCAACTCACACAGTCTCTCAGTTCAGCACATACTGTGTGTATACAGTTCTGTGTGCTGAGGCTGTGTTGATCATTATGATCTGATGTGATACTTGCTTTTCATGAGTCATGTTTTGTTTGAAGAGAGAGAGAGAGAAAGACACAACTGTTGTTTTATTAAAGAGAGAATGAATAATTAGTATTATTGAATGTAATTTGATTCATCTGAATTTAAAATTTGATTAGTTTATACTCTTCAATTTGAGGGTTTCTATGAGTGTTTTAATAGTTTTCATATCAGCTTGAACTTAGTGATGAGTTGAAGAAGAAGAGAAAAGAGAGAACAAAGAAATGAGAATAACTTATCTTTATAATATAAAAATAGAGAATCACTGTAATCATTCTTTCTAGTAATAAAGATCTGTTTTCTGCATGTATCTCTGATATAGATTACATGATAAATGCATACAAAGAATATCAATAGTGTATATATTGAATAAAGATAATATTGCTATGTAATACTGTAGCCGTTTCTGTACATCTCTGAAAGCTGTTAATAGTTTCTTTATCTCTTTATATTTGATAAGTCAATAATATATTCTGATGCACTTCTCATTTCATTATCATCATCATTATCATCATCATAATTATTATCATCATTATTATCATTATTATCATTATCATCATCATCATTATTATCATCATTATTATGATTATCATTATTATTATTATTATCATATCATTGCCTGTCTTCATCTCTCTTTCAACACTTATTAAAATTAATCATGTTATCTCTCTTCAAATATTCTGCGGTCCTGCGGACTATCAAGGCGCGTGAGCACCATCACAGATTGAAGAGAGAGAAGAAGAAGGTGTTCAAGCATGAGAAGACAGATTACAAGACATGTTATAATGCCTTGAAGAGGCTTCATAAGAGAGCAGAATGATAACAATTTTAAGTAACACTTCTGATAGATTTAGACTGAACTAAGTATAGAAATAATGTGAATAATACTGCTTATAAGAGATTGAAAAAGAAGACAGTGAAGAGTCTTATACAGCAGTAATGAGATTAGAAGAAGTTCTGAGAATAATTTAAGACTAAGATGAAGAGAGAGAGAGAGAAGAAGAGTATTACTGTAAATAAGCAGCAGTAGAAGAAGATTGAGAAGATATTAAAGTGAGAGACAAAGAAGTCAAAACTGATAAGTTTTTTATTAAGAGATAACAATTTTTGATAATACTTCTATTCTCTAATTAATTAGCAGAAGCTGACAGAGAAGGAAATTGAGGCCTTGTTCAGATCTTGAATGCACTTCATGATTCAGAATATTGAGAAGACAGCTCTGCTCTCTGAGTATGTCAATCTACTTACTACTGAGATGGAACCCGAGACAGCAGATCAGGAAATGCAGGATTTTGAAGCACAGATTGACCTGGCTGAGAGAGAGCAGTGAGAACCCTCTTCTAAGAAGACAGCAGAGAGAGATTTTGAGGTGATTATTATCTCAGATAAGAAGAAGAAGAAGGAGAATGAGAATGAGAAGTGAATTGTGAAGAATAATGAGAAGAATGAGAAAAAGAAGAAAGATAATGAATAGAAAAAGTTTTTTTCTTTTTATATTAGTTAGTTATAAGTTTGTAACTATTAGTTAATAATTGAAATTAATTTTGAGTTTTCAAAAATTATTGTACAAGTTGTAATCAATTATCAATGTCAGTAATAATATATATATATATATTCAACTATTATGTTACTATAATGTATAAGTATCAACATTTTTTCAACATTAATATTCACAATATTAATATATTTTTAATGATATCATCTGATAACACAATTTGATAACACTCTCTTTTATAATATTAATATATTTCAAGAAATATGACAGAGATTAATCAAGATTGTTTATTTACTTTTATACATCAATGATATTCAATCTGAGTTAGTACTAAAATTATAACTAAGCTAAGAAAGAAGATTATTTTCTCTTATATTAATTCTTCTTACACACATCAGTGATCAGTTATTAAAAATAAATTATTATCTTTCTTAAATTATTATTATATCTTCTGAATTCACTTCTTTTACTTCTTTTACTTCTATTGAAGATTCATAAACTCTTCAAGAAATTACTATGAATTACAAAGTCTATGTTATTTATAATTTAATACAGAATGCTCTCTTTCAATTATAATAAATAATCACTTTATTCTTCACATCTGATTCCAGGTCATGAAATTTATGAAAAACTCAATATAAACACTGAGATGAACTATGAAATACTTATCAACAGATTGTATTATAGATTACTGAAGAGTTATCTCTCTACTGCAATCACTGCAACTTTATTCAGAAATATTCATTATAAACTGATCATGATTCTGAAGAAATTTTTCAACATCGGAAGTCATTAGAATACAGATAATAAAAGAAAAATAATCAGAAAATTACTACTAAGCTGATAAGTTACTCTATCAGATAACAATTTTTAATAATACTAACTTTCTAATTTGAAGAAAATTATATGAAAATAATTATATATTAGTACTCTGATTTCATAACTCTTATCTGATAACTTCTGTGAATAATTACTTCACATATATATATCTCTGAATCTTTCTCTTCAATTAATTGAAAACTCTGAATTCTGAACACTTCTTCAAATGCTTAATTTAAATCTTCATATTTCACATCAATTCTGTCTTCAGTTCAATCTCAAGACACACTACAAAGTTAATATACAACATCTAGAATCAGAGTTGAAGAATCATTGAAGAGTATCTCTCACAGTGAATGTATGAACTAGTACAAACAATCTTACATTTATAAGAGTTATATATTATTATATTGATGAGAACTGAACTTATCAAGAGACATTAATTGAATTTAAATCATTGATCAGTAGTCATACTGAGAATTATATAACAGAGATATTAATGACTGTGATTAAAAATAACTATTAAGATATTAGTCTCAGTCTTCTTACAATTACAACTGATAATACTGCAAATAACTATACTATGATGAACAGTTTGAAGCAAAAATTAGGTTTGCATTTCTGAAATAATAAATAAGGTCATATTCTCTGCATTGCTTATGTGATTCAACTTGTAATATAAACACTGATAAAGAATCTTAATATCAAGATAAAGAATAATAAGATTACTGATTCTTGAGATGAGAATGAGATGAAAGTGATTACTCAAGTAACTTTTACATTCACTTTATAAAAGATAATGTTTTTTGATAACACTTTTTAATATTGCTTTTTAATAATACTTTTTGATAACACTACTGTTAATTTTGAATAGATTGATTAATAATTTAAATATCACAGATTTGAAACATTGTTAATACAATTTGTACCTTCTCTAAACAATAATAATAATTTCATGATATTTAATAAATAAACAAATCAGTCACATCACTGAATATGATACAGAATATTAGAATACAGTGAAGTTCAATATATGAGATAACTGTTCAGACTCTTCAATTGTGTCAGATAATTGATTATTGAATGCAACACTCTGATTAGAAAAAGATTCAGACATTGAAACTTTCTGATATAAAGTGAACTCAGTTGAAATATGTGATTAATTTACTGTTTCAGTTTTATAAAATAACAAAGATAGTCTCAATCACTCATACATCAATGCTGCAGTCAGCCTGATGAATGTATAACAGTTTATTTACTCATCTTAAGAAGCAGTTAAATCACTTAAAAAGAAATTCAGTCTGAGATGATGCTATAGTGCAGGCTATTATTGCTGTAATAGATAAACTGGTATATTACTACAGTAAAACTGAACAATCTTTTACAGAGTACTATGCTGTAGTAGCTCTACTAGATTTCTCTTATTAAGTTAATATCTACACTTCTCAAGATTGAACAGAGAAGAAATAAGACTTATATATTAAGTTAGTCTGAGACTACTACAATATCAACTATCAGAGATTTGAACAAGCAGATATTCAAGATATGAAGACAGTGAAATACAATTCTCTAGTAAGTAACAATCTTTGATAATACTTTATATCTTATAGAACTATAATACTAACTTTGAAACAGAACTTATATACATTGATTGCAACTGAAAATCAGATAAGACTATATACTTATAAAACTGAATTTGATCACTATCTTCAAGATGATCTGATGAATTTACATATTAAATTAATTCTAGAGTTATAAAAAATTGTTAAGAGTACATATTTAACTGTTGCACTGATGATGTGTGATATTCTAACAATTTTATTGACAGAGGTGAGAATGAAGTGAAAGTTCAACTCAAGTCAAGATATTTGTCATTATCATCAGAGACAATTACAAGAAGAAACAATCAAGAAACTCATGATTGTAAAATATGAAATTATCAGATAGTTTAATATCTCTGATCACAGTATATCAGAGAAGTGTAGTTTTCATGAGAAAGTGAAGAATAAACTTGCACAAGAATGTATTTAGTTGTTTCATGAGTGTTATCAATAATTGTTATCAAATTCTGATTATATAAGCAATCACTGAATGAATCAAATGAGACTGATTTTAATCTTCAGTTTCAGTCTCATTCTGATTTTGAAAGAATGATTATCTTTCACAGTTTATTCTGAGAAATTACTTTCATTTCACTGTTCTTGAATTAAATCTGGTCATTTTTCACACTATTTCTCTCAGAAATGGTCCATTTTCAGATTTTTTTGAGACTTGATCCTGGTGAGACTCACGCCAAGAAATGTATGAGATCAGATCAAATGAGATTAAATGTGAAATTCATGGTCCCGCCGGCCAGTCTAGATGTGTGTAAGAAGAATTAATATAAGAGAAAATAATCTTCTTTCTTAGCTTAGTTATAATTTT